AGCCTATGGAACGACAGAAAAGATAAAGGCAAAATAAGGTCCTTGCATCCATCACTCAGTTTGACTTCTTCCTCAATGCCTGTTCTTCCTGCTGCTCATATCACTCAGCTCAGTAAGTCTGCTCCAATGCTAATGGACCCTCTTCTTGATGCAAGTGCGCTGTTGCAAGCACGGGCTAACATTCATAACAGTAAGTATAGACAGTTGTTTATTGTGAAAGAATTGCATTAAAAAAATTAGATACATAATGTGGTTTGACAGATTTCAGTGAATAAACAAGCACAGTCAACCAAAATGTAACTGGGTCCACTAGGTTAAAGCTATTTCACACTGCACTGATAGATGCTGACCAATGCCAACAGACATGTTTGTCAGGTTTAGTCGGATCAATGCGTTACCCCTGTCAGCGTCTGTTGCTGTTGGTCACCGTTTGTTTTCACTGACTGAACATGTTCTATCAGCATTTGTCAGGTCATAGAACGCCTAAGCAGTGACAGAATCTGGTGTTGTTCATTGTTGCCCGGCATCTGCCGGTGCAGTGTGAACAACCCTTTAGGAAAGTAGCATGCAGTCCAGACTGGGTGTGTGAAGATGTACAAAAGTGTTTGTGGATTTATTGTCAGAATCACAGAAAAGAGCTGATATTGCTCCCCAAACAGACCAGATAACCTTAAGTGTTACCTAGTCTCAGCGGTTTCCAAGAAATCCACCATTAAATCCTCTTGCTGATGAGACTGGAAGAGTTTCCAAAGAACATCTACAAGTAACACAAAAATAGAAAAGGACTGTGCTTATGATGAACAAGAAGGGAAGCAGTGCCAGTGTTGATCATTTTTGTGATCCACAGATGGAGTCTGTTATTAGGATAATCTGTGATCAAGGAGACATCTACTTGTATTGTCAGAAGCTTGCACTACAGTTAGAAAATGAATGGATTAAAAGAGAATGAAGAAGCCACCATCTTAGAGAACATAATCCTGACAGAGTTACATTTACCCCAGAATCTTGCCTGTGGAGAGATTCTCACCAGATCAGCTGTAGAGATAGTCTGAGAATGAATGAAGGAATTTAGGGTATATTGTCATCAGAAGACTAAGTATTAGAGGAGACCTTCACTAATACTTTGTACAATCCATAAGAAAGAGGATTACGGGATGCTCAAGGGGTAGTTTTCAAACAAACACATGTTGCCTATATTGTGGTTGCTGAGTCACCAAAAGTCAGGACACATTCTTAATTTACTTAATGTAACTAGAGGCAACTCTACTTTTAAGTTTTAGTGTCTGTGTGCAGCTTTGATTGTAATGAAAGAAAAGCATTGGTGAGGAGGTTATAACATGAAAGAAAACCATATAATAAAAGTTTCCAATTCACTACAGGGCTTAGAGGTGCTCACACAGGGGATGACGATAACAGACAAAAGGTAAGGCAATGCTTTTTTTTTTTTACATTTCAATAAATGCAAAAAGTCTTGCCTTTAATACCCTTTTGATTGTTGTGCTGTGATTTCCAGACACTACCTACTCTATGTTCAAAGACACCCAAACATCTTGCTCCGCTGGACAATATACACCAGGATGGCTCTGCATGTTCAAATCTTGAGCACCCACTTCTCTTAAAACAAAGTAGCATCTTGCCCATCTCATCACAGTCCAGACGAAGACTGGAAAGGATCTCCAGGCCGTCTTCCAGAAGATCCAGAGGCACCCGAGCAGGCAGTGAAGAGAGCAACTCCTGCAGCAGTAGTAGCCAAGAAGAGGATGAGACTGTGCCTCAAGATACACACAAAATACATGTTTTAGAGAAGTCACTCAATCTGGAACTGGGGACCTACTTGGATTTTCAGGATTTAGTCAGTTCTGTAATACACAATACTACAAACGATAATGTAATTTCAGACAACAAGAAAGGCTACACATCTATCAAATCATTGACTGTTAGGGAAGTCAAGGATGAAATAAGATGCAAGTCTTCCAAAACAACTGAAAACTCTCCAACTATGAACTGCTGCTCGGTCTCTGAAGCACCCAAAAACATAATCAGACAAATACCTACAGTCAGAGAATCTTGTTCTGTTGCAGGTGAGAAACACCTCACCGCTGTGGATACTGGTGTAGTAGAACAAACTTCACATGAGAAGAACAAACCAATTAAGATGATCAAGAGAAATGCCAGTAAAGGCAAAACATCTATTCAGACAAATCAGTCATTCAATGTTCTGGCACACAGAAAACAAAGTGCTGTTAAAACCACAAGGAATAGGATAAATTCACCAAATCACTCAAAGGAGCAACTCAGAGAAAGTAAACCCACTAGCATAGTTATTGCAGGAGAGACTACTAACAAATATTTGCCAAGAGCACCTATAATGGCTTGTAAAAAAACTGCAACAAGGTTGGTCTCTGAACCTTTTCAACACATGAAGTCGAGTGATGATAAAGCAAGCAATAACAGTCAAAACCAACTTCACAGAGATCAGAGTAGTGCAAGAGCATCCAAAAAGCCAGCAACAGGACCAATACAGCGAGCAAAGTCTGCTGTGGATTATGTCACTTACAATGACATGTTTCTGAAGATCAGTCAGGGAGATGAAGGCCCAGCAATCTACGAAATGTTTGCGACTCCAGTTTATGAGAATCTTAAAGCAGACAGTTCTGCAGAGAGAACCAGACAGGTCCAAACAGCACGTCAAGTTAAAAGTCAGATCAATGGAAAACTAAGGGGCCAAAAAAGAGGGGAGGTTAACCGAAGGAAACAAGCTCAATCAGAGAGATCCAGTCGAGCTAAATGCAGGCAGCTCAAGCGGAGGGATAATGTTACCAAAGGGATAAAGAAACGCCCACCTTCTCCAGAGAATAAATGCCATGTCCTTGTAACCTCTGCTTGTGGAACTGTCCAGCAGAACAAATCTGAAATGCACATCGAGGGAGATGGAAGAGAAATTTCAAGTGCAGAAAGACAATATACTTCCATACTATCAGTGATTGAGGAAGTACTTTCCAACACTGTATCCAAAACAAGTCTCATAAAGGAAATAATACTTCAAGAACAAACTCCAACTGATGCAAGTGCCAAAAGTGAACCTGAAATATCATGCGAGACCAAATTGCCATCGCAGCCCCTTATCAATACCTGGACAAGTGACGGAACGGCGTCACCTTTGTACCACAGGTTTCTAGAGGAGGTTGGTGATGGACCTCTCACAGATGACCTGCTGAGGTCTTTGGCAGAGGAGTTGATCTCACTCGAGAGAAGAGACGTTGAAACACTCAAGACTGAAAAGGAAGATAGCACAGAGTTCAAACATAACTTGCCTTCAAAATTTAAGACATTTTTAAATGAGGTAACATTCTAACATACTTCACTTGTACATAGTGTCAACCAACCCTGCTCCTGGAGAGCTACCTTCCTGCAGATTTCCGACACCAACCCTGCTTCAACACACCTCTGCAGGGTAGTAGCTCTCCAGGAGCAGGGATGGCTACCCCTGCAGTATTATATGGGCCATCACAGTGAGTTTCTGTTGTTCATCAGGGTGTGTCCTCAGGTGAACTGCATTACTCTAATGGATCTTGCTCAGATGATGCTATCACATGGACAAAAGGAGAGGTTCTGGGTAAAGGAGCTTATGGAACGGTAGGTATTTAAATTAAGTAATTTTAAAGCACTCTTCCTAGCTATAGTATAAACAATTATGATTTTCAAAATGTTCTCCAAGCATAATCAATTACAAAGCTATGTTTACATTTTTTATTCATAGGTGTATTGTGGGCTAACCAGTCAAGGTCAGCTGATTGCAGTAAAACAGGTGGCACTGGATGCTTCAACTTCAGAGATGGCAGAAAAAGAGTATGAATGCTTGGAGAGAGAAGTGGATCTTCTTAAGACCCTTCATCACACTAACATTGTTGGTTTCTTGGGCACAGCTCTCTGTGAGAATACTGTAAGCATCTTCATGGAGTATGTTCCAGGTGGGTCAATCTCAAATATCCTGAGCCGGTTCGGACCTTTGCCAGAGAAGGTCTTCGTTCTATACACTCGACAAATTCTGGAAGGTGTTGCCTATTTTCATGCTAACAGGGTCATCCATAGAGATCTGAAGGGGAACAACATTATGCTTATGCCCAACGGATTGATCAAGCTAATCGACTTTGGTTGTGCTCGCCGTCTTAGCTGTCTTCAGACTTCAACTGGAAGTAAGAGTGACGTTCTGAAGTCTGTGCATGGTACCCCATACTGGATGGCACCAGAGGTCATAAGTGAGACAGGTCATGGACGAAAATCAGACATCTGGAGCATTGGCTGTACTGTGTTTGAAATGGCCACAGGAAAGCCACCCCTCGCACACATGAACAAGATGGCAGCTCTTTTTTACATTGGGGCTCAAAAGGGCTTAATGCCATCTCTGTCTGATGACTTCTCTACAAATGCAAATGGCTTTGTCAAGGCTTGCCTAACCAGGTAATTTGCTTTTACTCAAAAATGAAATATTTGCTCTGGTTATTTTGTGCTAAGGAGTTTTTTTAAATCTATTGTATATTATTGTAAAATCTCCCCAGATTATTATCTTGGGTGTTTTGTAACAGTGGAACAATTTTCCTCTTTGCAGAGATCCAAAGCAACGACCTTCAGCAGAGGAACTGTTAGGACATCCATTCATCTTTCATCACAGCCAAGCCTGCAATAGGCCAATGAACTGAAAACTTGATTCACCAAATCAAAAAGTAACTTTTAAAAACCTTGATACAAAGCAAACTGATACTGTGACCCAACATAATTTAACATGGAGAAAAATCTAATTCATAAAATAACAGTGAAGATCTGTAAATAGTTATTTGACAAACGTGCCAATAAGTTCTTAACACAATAAATGATCACATAAAGACTGAGGTTAAGGTAGTGGAAACCATGGAATTTATTATTAAATCTAAATAAAATTGGGAAAAGACAAAAAAAAAAGTGCCAGGGTTTGCATTTGCCTTATCCAACTGCAAGGCAAAAAAAAAAAAAAAAAGCCAGAGTTTGCACTTGCCTTATCCAACTGCAATTCAGTGATCCAAAGTAAAATCATGGTGTGTACAATGCTGGCCTCATTTACCAATAGCTTCACACTAAAAAGAATCAAAATCAAATGATCAAAACCATTCATCCATATTCAGAAATAATGTTGAGGGCCTGTGAAAGCCCAGATCTCTTTGGGTCAGCACTGTGATAATGAACTCAATCTCCTTTTACCCACCTATATTTCTGGTCATTTTTGACTGACTTACAGAGTTGCACAAATAGGCTACTGCTTCAAGCCAAGAAATATATAAAATGCACTTCACAGCGAAGGTTATGTAAACTTTATAGAACTATACTTTTTGAGGCACAGCCTTTGGCATCCAGCTTAAGGTCATCTTGCAGGTCAAAAAAGGTACAAATTGCATGGCCTCTGACAACATGCCAGGTAATTGGCAGGGTGTGGATTGCCTGCTAGTTCACCCTCTCCTGATAGCACTGGAAGGCTGCGCTAGAGATGCCAATGATAGATTCTAACACTGAGTCACAAAATCCCCCCTACCCCTATATATATATATATATATACACAAGCAGCTCCAAACCTGAGAAGTTATGGTACAGCTTTTAACATACGAGAATGTATGTAAATTTTTCTTCACAATCTGTAAACAACTATCTCGTCCCTTTCATTATAAACATGCAGTTCATATAGAAGGTATCAGATGAGGGGAAAGGAAACAAAGAAACATTCAAGGAACTATGGAACTTAAATCTTGATTCTGCATTCTTTCTACTAACTTTGTTTAACAAATGAGAGGAGCGTCAGTCATTTTAGAGGGTACTTTCAGTCTTACAAATTTTCATTGTGGCAAAAACATTCATCACTCATTATGCTTTTATCATGAAAAGTTTTTTTTTTTTTTTTTACTATAATGGCCCTGACATTCGTATACTGGCTCACGCATACATACAGACTGCTCGTGAAGGAATACTGAGGAAAGCAGCAGTTATACAGAGATGGCGAGACTGAACCGAACTGCCAGAAGATCGGGAAGCATTTTTATTTTCTTTCTCTTACTCTTCACATTCCTGTTTTTTTCCTCATTCTAATAATGAAATCTATGCTTGACTTTCTCTTATATTTTATCCTCTTTCCTATCAGTTCAGGAGTCCATTCCTTGGGCACTTAATAGCGAATCAAGCATGTCAAAAGTATCTGTAGTCTGTGTGTTGGCCATTAGCTAGGCAGGAGCCCTCAGGGCCATGGCTCTCCACTGGTTTCCTGTCCAGTTTCACTAGGGTGCTGAGATGTCCGTAGCCCACCTGGTATGTGACAGGGGGAGGGGGGAAGGGAAGGTTAAGAACAGAGCTGTGAGATGACACACACTGCTGAACAGAGGAACAATGAGAGGAACTACCTGCACCGCCTTTGGAGCTTTTGTTCTTTTTAGAGTGGTGATTGTGGCTGCCGTCGGGGTTCACCCTCTTACGTGAGGAACTGGAAGCAGAGCTTGTGCCATCACCACTGGAACCTACTGGGCTCCGAAGGGCCGAACCAGATGCGGGTACCTCAAGGCTGCTCCTGCCGTTGCCGCTATGCGTGTGCGTGTGTGAGTGGCCGTGTTTGTGATGGTGACGATGGGCTGAGTGGTCTCTGTGTTTCTCCTTGCTCACAAGCGGGCTGAAATGTTTGCTCTTTGCAGCACCCTCGTCAGAGGAGCTGTGTCGCTCAGAGGACACCTTTATTTTCATGTTTAGCTCCTCCTTACTTGATCCCTCCTTTTCGCTCTGGGAGGGAACCGGAAGACGCAGTTTTAAAGAGCTCCCTTTCTCGCGTTTGTCCTGGAGCTTGTCCTTGAGTTGGGGCAGGTGTTTCCGGTGATCCGTCTGTGTTGGAGCACCATAGACCTCAGTCTCCACGTTCTGCTGCTCTTGCCTGCGTTTCTGCACTGCCATCTCACCAGCGTGTTTCTCCCTGTACTTGTCCAGAGACATCTTCTGTGTGGGTGCTGCAGGTGGTGGATAGGTCGCGGCCTGGTGCTTCGCCCCACCACTGGCCTTATGTTCGTGTTTGGCAGGGTTTAACTCTGCACATTTGTCAGGCCGGTGTGGGTGCATAGAACTGTGTGGGGGAAGTTGTTTGACAGAATACTGGTCTGAGTGTACTTGGTCCTGAGGCCAGTCACTGGGGGCGGTGTACGTGTATGAAGTTCCCTGCATGTTGGCAATGGAATCAAGAGAAAGACTGCTGCTTGAGTTGCTTGGCAGGGTCACTGGGAAAGACGTGGAGGCTTTGGAGAAAGCTGTATTTGTAGAAACCCCAGGAAGGGCATCCATCAAGGACATGTCCTGGGTTAATGAAGGTCCCGCTAAAGAGCTGCTGTCTGAGGCCTGACCATCTGATTTGGGCTTCTTAGCAGCTTGCGTAGCCTAGAAATAAACACAACAACAACTATGTGTTATCCAAATTAAACAATCTAAAGACACCAAATGCATGATTCATCTAGTCTAATCACTTACCCTCCAGTTACGAATCCTCTTCAACCTGCTGGGTGTCTTCTCTAATATTTGCAGAAACTCGTGGGTCAGTTCTACAACAAAATTTGAATGAATATAATTTATGGGTGACTTACACAACAAATAGGGCAAAATGAGCCAAATGATATATGGTAATTTAGGAGAATGCTCATTTACCATCAAGAAGTTCAAGTGTAACTGAGCTGTCCACATACTCCCACCAGTGCTTTCCATCGGTGGAAACAGGGATCTCCCAGTTGGACCACTTGCAGGCCAGGTGAATGCAGACGCAGGCGATAACTGTGGGCTTGTACTGCAAGCAGAAGGTGGTGAGGTGCAGACTGCAAGAGCAGCATGAGGAAGAAAAAACAACAACAAAGAAAGCACAAAACGATCAGTCACTGAGCGGACAGAAGGCAGTGTTTAACATCTAGAGAATATTATTAAGGAAGCACTGAAGCCACTAAGATATTCCCCAATTGTGAGTAACACTTCCAAAATTTACCTGCACAGTTCAAAAACTACTTGATTTAGCACCATGCAATTAAGGTAGACAGTAGTTTACAAAGGGTACAAACTGAATGGCAAAAGACAACATGAGAAGGGATGCGCCAATCAAAAATTTGAAATGGTCAGAAAAAAAAAAATTCAAGCAGAACTTCCTGAACATGTTATCCATGTAAAGAAACAGATTGGCTTAAGAGGAAATGGTCTACAAGGCCTAATGTTGGAGTGCAGTCAGCCAATTCTGATCAGCAGCTGATCAGTTTTATCATCCCTACATTTGAAGTTTAGAATAGCAGTAGAAAATTCTACAAGTTCTATAAATCAGTTATACATTGTGAAATTAAATCTGTGCAAGCAAAAGAATAATAGGGTTGTTACTCAATCAAGGATAAACTTGACACTATTGACATAATACTGTACATTCAATAACAGGCGTAAAAGCCTGCAGTCAACAGAATCATAGGGAACAGTAAAGCAAACAAGCATATGGTTACCATCCGTATTTACCAAATTGCAAGCCCATGTTATGAAAAACAAAACAGGGCTGACTGTTTGGCCTCATCAAGTGCTTATTATTTAATCTCTGTAAACTTGCCTACATCTCTAAAAACAATGTTAGTATTTTAATGTGGAAAGTAGTTACTAAAAGGAAATGCATCTAAACTGCATCAATAGTCCCTGAAGAAGCCATGAGGAATCAAAGATTCCTCTACCAAAATGCTAACAATCTTTTAGTGATCTTTTAACAGTTTTACATTGAACAAAGTAGTGTTTTACTGACATTTGAAACAAATAATAAACTGAAGCCTCAGTCAAAGCTGGATGGTAACCCTGTGCTACAGAACAGAATCAATGTTTGGACATGGGGTAAGAGGAGCCTTTAAATCCTAATGGAACAAAGACAAACAAATGATGACTGCAACATTCATTGCATTATAGGTGATAACTAGGTCTAAAAAAGACCTAAAAAACAGCCTCTACTTTTATTCAAAAGAATAAAAAAATGCAAGGAAAATACACAAGGGAATAAAAATTATAAGATCATCCATCATCGGACACATTGGCCATACAAAACTATGCTTGATTTATCAATCAAGTTCTGTTAATTCAGTTTCAAAAACTGTAAAGTCCACGTCCTTTGAGGGCAAAACAAAGGCCCAAAAAAAAAAAAAAAAAAAACCTCAATGGCCACATTATATGCAGACCATGTGTTGAGCATATGCCGCTCTAGTCCCATGTTCAGACATCACATACAATGCTGCAGTATCCCTATGCAAACAAGGGGGCAAACACTAATGAAAGGTAACCTGATTTAAAAATAATTAAGACAATAACTACACAATGAGGGAGACCAAAAACAGACAAAAAAATCCTCAATTTGATTAAATTACAATGATGACTACACCCTTTAAGGACCTTTTGTTACACACCTGATACCAACAATTTTTCAGGATTGTAATGGGTATAAAAATACATAGCCAAATGAAACAACTATTTTTAATTAAATCGGTCCTTAATGGGTTTATTTGCATTAAAACAAAGGTATTTCACAATGGAAGCACGACAGATGTCTGTATCTCAAAATCAAGTCAGGCAGTGAATGACAAAAAAAAAAAATTGTAATAAGCCAAAAAAAAAAAAAAAGTACTTCTAAATAGTTTGAATACGAAAGACCAAAACAAAGGTTAAATTATCACTTTGAGAATAACAAAATCATAGGAAAAAACAAAGGGGTCTGGGTACTTACCATAAAGACTTCTATGTAATGTTTACATCTGTGTAATCTTTAGCTGCTATTCAGGCTACCAAAGTGTCTTTTTTTAGACAAATGCACTCCTGTAACCGAGCAAACGTGAGGTTCAAGAGCACCACTACACTTCACATTGTGCATTCAACCCCTCTGTGCCAACAATGATCCCCCGTACAATACACCGCACTGCAACCGGGGCCGGTGCCACCGAACCCCCTCCCCACCCTGCTCTGAGGGCATGTTTGAGAGGGGGGGGGCGTCCCAGTAGCCACCGGTGCAAGGAGGGTGTTGGACACTGGTAGGGTAACCTGCAGTAAAGGAAGCTATAGTGTGCAGTCACAGTGCAACAAATGAGGTTCTGGATAACAACCTGTTGGTAGCCATGAAATAGGAAGTCTGTGCCAGATCCTTGCTTGCTGTGAAAGTAAACAGAGAGAGAATGGCAAAAGAATGAGAGTGAGTCAAACTATACACGCGAGTAAGAATGAGACCCAGTTACGCTCAATACAGTGAGATTTACCTCTCCAAGAACGGCATGCTTAGCCATAACACAAAAGCCAATAGTTTGATTCAAAGACTAAACAAGCACTGTTTTGTATCTAAAGTTGATTGCAGTGAGCATATGAAGGAAAGTCTATACCTCGCACTAGCTGGGAACATTTCACCACATCAGTGTGTGGATGTTCAATTGTTATTTCAAAGCCTGCAATATAAAGCACATGAATTTCATTCACAGCTGAATCAAACTGCTTTCAACACCTGTGGATCATGAAAGATAATCATGCATTAGTTAGAACAAAGCCTTTAAAATGATGCAGAATTATTGAGATGATACCCATGTATCATGTGGCAAAATAACATCCCAGATTAACTGAAAATCAATTTGGTTTCTTTGCAACAAGGTTTCAAAAAAATGTGAAATCACTGCGTTCATCCCCCACTTAGGTTGCGCAGATCAGTAAAAATCGTAATGACTTCACATGGAAAAAAAGCAGGATCCACACACATTCAATACTTAATGATTTTGGGGATTTTTATTATACAAAAGGCACAAATGGATCATCAAATGTCTGCACGTTTGCAAAAAGGTTTAAAATCACCATTCTGGTGAATTTAGTCATAATGATACAACTTTTCAGGCAAATACTCCGAGTAAAATGTTTTTTTTTCCAGAGGTGAACCACTGTCAGCAAGTTCACTAATATTCAGTTGAAAGAAACCTCCTTCCATAGACTTACCTAAAGTCTGCAGCACTATGGTTTCAAGTATCACCAGCTCTTGAGCTTGCTGGAGGTATGCCTGAAGTTCAATAGACAATCATTACACGAGGCTTGTAATGTGTCTTTCTGTATATTCAACCCATAAACTGAATTCTCTGCACCCTTCCAATTACAGGCAACACTAATTGTTTGCCGCACAGTTATTTTTTTACTTGTCTTTTTCAAGACACTTTTTTTTCCTCATTCAAGAGAAATTAAATTTAATGAGATTTCTGTCCCAGCACTGACACACTGGATGTCTAACGTCAGTGTCTCACTAGTCCATTTTTAGTTGTAAGCCTCATTTACATTGTTGCTGGAGAATCGTGGGAATCACAGGTTCTGTGAGATTCACATGAACGGGAAAGAAATAACAGAGGCATTTGTTTAATTTGCCACCCCCTGTCATTCTTAAAGGAATAGTTCACTCAAAAATTAAATCTCTGTTATCATTAACTCACGCCATGTTGTTTCAAAGCCATAAGACACTTGTTCATCTTCAAAACTTTCAAATATGGTCAGGGGAACTTGCGTGACGCGCAAGATCAAACTTCATTGGTTCTCATGTGTCCAGCAAGCACGTTTGAGCTTCCTTTAACCATCTTTGATCAGGTTTCAATAAAAATATCTTCATTTCTTTTTTGAAGATGAACAATAAACTTTTGGAACAACCTGAGGGCGAGTAAATGATGACAGTTTTTATTTTTGGGAGAACTAAACATTTAATCGGTGTATATGACAAAAGAGGACAAGATTTTTTAAAAACAGTTGGCAGGTGAGAAACCCCTGATCAAAATCAAGTTGTTTGGAGTTGACTAGTGAGACGCCTAATTCTGTAGTGACAGAATCTAAACACACTTATGTGTAGCATAAATTATTCAATGTGATGAAAAGGTTGAGAAAATTGAAGAAGAAAATTAAAACAATAATAATACCCAGGACTTACATTACTCTTTGTATCCAGTGGAGGCTCCTGGGGGTTTAAACACGCATGAGCTACTTTAATGACATGTTCGAGTTTCCGTGGTTGCTCTTCAACTTTTGCAGCCAGAAATAATGCTGTTGGGGAGGTGGTCTAGAGAGGAAAGAAAAAATGTCAATGTCATGTCAAAAGATGCAAGCCTACTTTAAAAGTTTTTTTTTACTAAAAAATTTAATTTCTGTCATTATTTACTCACTCTTATGTCATTCCAAACCCATAAGACTTTCATTAATCTTCGAAACACAAATGAAGATACTTTTAATGAAACCTGAGAGATTTCTTTGAAACTTTATAAAGTTCCTAGAGATCATAAAAAACTATGATTTGAGCAGTTTAGTCTTCTGAAGAGAGACAATCGGTTTAAATAAAAAGATTGAATTTAGGCTTTTATTCACATAGAAACATCGATCGAAGCACATACATCAGATATGTTAAACGGAAGCTCAAACATGCTTGCTTGACTTGCGAGAACCAATGAGGTTTGTTCTCATGTGTTTTGGGTGAATGGACTTTTAATGGCCGGACAGAAATTTCTACAGGTCTCATTAAAATATCTTCATTCATGTTTCATTTGAAGATGAATGAAAGTCTTAAGAGTTTGGAATTACATGAGGGTGAGTAACTGATGACAGAATTGTAAATTTAGGTTAAAGTGTCTAATTAAAACATCAAGATCACCAGAACTGATGAAAAATGTTTTCACAGCTGGGTAGACCAGTTATTATCAGGTTCATAGCTGTGGTTAACAGTGTTCTATAATGTATCTATTTCACCTTCATTTTGGAAACTGCATTAACAGTTGCACTGAGGGACCATCCTTACACTCCAGGTGAAACACTCATGAATATTCATGAGTATGTGTATATTAGGTTGAAAAGGGTATATGTAATGGATGCAGGCAGTGCGGATGGAAACACTTACATTTCTGTGGAATTTGGAGAAAGAGTGGTACATATAAAATCTGTGCATGTAAGCAATGGCAGTATTTATTGTGAGTTGAGAACTGATGTTTAGAGTTAAGGAAAACGTATGATTACATAACTTAAACCATTTACTGACCTAATTACGTATTCGTGTTCCGTAGTGATAAAAGTTGGCCAAAATACTGATATATCATTTTTTATTAAAAAAAATAAAAAAAGTCAAAACAATTACATAATTCATATCTTTAATGTTTATGGGAACCGGCCTGTTCGCGTGCCACTGACATCAGATGCGTGCTGTCACGCGCCTGAGTGACTTGAACATAAACAACATAAATCCACGGTACAACTAGCTCATTGTTATGTTACATATATAGACAGACTAGCTAGATAACACGTACATATACAAACCGCACGTTAATCATTTGTAGAACATTAACATTAATCAGCAAGCGTCTGTGCGAGACGTGTGCGCGCTGCTAACATAAGGGGGTTTAATTGACCACCTCAGATAATTTCAGCCGAGTTCACAGTTATTACAGATATTCGTGGTACACAAAAGTGATAGAAATTATAGTTGTGAAGGCAACACGAACAGTCACAGCGAGAGACGGAAACGGGCCTGCTGTTGATCAGCGTCTGAAGGATACACATTAAGTCTCTGGCCCATGTCCTGAATAAGATTCGCGGCTTGCTGTCGATACGACAGCTCTCTGTCTGGCTCCACTCCGCAGCGGCGAGACGGGGTGTTTTCGAGCTGTTCCCGGGTAAAAAACCATTTGGACGATGATCCCCGGCACGCCGCCATTACCGTCCAGCAGACGAACAGAGAACGAGCGTCACGCATTTTCACCAACGTCACTACGGCGCCACGTCCTTGACGTACGTCCTACAATGCGGTTCTTCTTCTTCTTGAAATTTTATTGGTGGTTGACAAACAACAAAATGGTGTATTTCCGCCACCAACTGGAATGGAGTGTGGATCAAAAATTGACTTCCACCGACCTTTTTTCTCTTTATCCCATTGTTTTTGCCACCTTTCTTTCAGTCTTTTCTTAATAATACTACAATGCGGTTCTGCTGGGAACTGTAGTTTATTTTCGCTCATAGTTTTCTCGCTTATATTGTTTAGTATGAAGGATAATTGTAGGATGTGTTGTGTGTACGAATACTAGGTGGTTTGAGTAATACTTTAAAAAACAAAAATGTTTTATTGAAATCCTTTTGAGTTAATTATTGAAAGCAAACATCAGACTCATTTTGTATCACCTGGCAGACGGTTATTTGTAGGTGTAGGCTATATATATCCTCCTGAGACCCAGCTATGGAGTTTTTGCCTCTGTAGTGGACATTATATTTTAGTGAATTTCTCTGAGAATTTTTATTTCTGGTTCTCAGGAGGATATGAATAAAATATGGCATATTCTTTGTGGTTTAACATAATTTATTTAATGCCATAATTTATTTTAACCAACTATTTGTTACAATTTAACAAACCTTTTTTAAAATGGGAAAGAAAACAGAAAATATTTTTCTAGACAACTGTAGATCTGATAACTGTATTCTCAAGAGTCAAGATTAGAATCTGTAAAGAAATTTAAAATAGACAGAAGGGTGTCATCCTTAATTAAATATAAATCAATAAAAAAAAAAAAAAGCAAATCAAGTAAGGTTTAATTCTCATGACCCAGCTCTCTGGTAACATACTTATGATACACACTGATCAGTCACTCAAGCTGTTTTCTTGACAGACCTAAAAATTCCAGAGCATTCCCAGCAAGCAGTTTATCCTAAACAAAAGAGTAAAATAAAGATAAGCTGTAAAGTGACGAGCACAGTGTATTTGCAATTTGATGTTTAAAATAAAACCTAGTGTATTCAGACAGATAGATAAATAGATAGATAACTGTTTATCTTACCTTTAGCAAACTATCAAGCCCATCCATGGATTCAATCAGTGCACCTGGCTCCAGTTCCCCCAGTGGAAATGGGTAATCTGTGCCTAACATCACTTTATCCTGCAAGAAACAGAATACCAAAAAATAAATAGCACATATTAAAAAATCTCAGAGATGTATGTATATTGCTTCACACTTTCTATTACCAGAATAGAAAGGTCCTGCACATGAAACATCTAGCTTTGCCATTTCATCACTTAGAGTTCACTTAGGTAGCTCCTTATATAAATCGCTAACTAAATATTATTGTGCCTCTTCTGTTACAGGGAGATTTAGCATTACTGCTGATATAAGAATTAAAATAACTACCTTTCCTATGACTTCCATGAGTAACTTCAGAGAAAGTGGGTCGTGCACTAGAGAATCGGTGTAGAAAGATCCTGAGTATTTGCGTGGGTTGATCTTGTTGTCGGTTGCACAAAGATCAGGTCGCACTTTAAAGCCATGCCACTAAAGTTGTTTTGTAATCCACAAAATGATAAATTGATTATCTAAAAATAATATGAATATTTTTACCTCCATGAGCAAAGCAGACCTTAAGTTTGGGAAATCTTTCAAAAACACCTCCAAAAATCATGGAACAAATTGCCATTGTAGTTTCTGTTGGCATACCTGTCAAAAAGTGGAGCCAAACAAAGATTACGACATACTGTACTAATCTTCCACAAAACCACAAAAGTAATTAAAAACTTAAATAAAAAATGTATATGAAATAAAATTGATATAAAATAAAAATTAATAATAATAAAAAAATTGCAATCAGATTTTTGTTTTTTTTTGTACTAATCAGAATCTGCTATTAAATATAAAAACCTTGACATCACATGCAAGACACTCAGTCAAACCCACCAACTAACCAGGGCAGCCAGTATTTTGCCATTCTACCATCTGTCTGCATGTCCCATGGATGCACAAATATTGAGCAGTTGAGTTCCTCAGCGGCCTGTAGTAAGAGGCAAAATATTGATAACAATGCCTTACAAACTGAGACAAAGCTAAATGGCTGCTTGACAAAATAATCACAAAGAGACCAAATACTTTAGTGTGACTGTGGCATGGTCTACTAAAAGCAAATGGACTTACAGCATAGACAGGATATAGCTCTGTAGCATTGAGGTCCCATGTGTTTATATGAGAGCCAATTTGCACTCCAGGGAATCCGAGCTGATTCACACACCGTCTCATCTCCTGTACTGCCAGATCAGGGGCCTGCATGGGCAGAGTACCCAGCCCAACAAAACGCTTTGGAAATTGCTTTACTGTAGCAGCCAGATCATCATTCAATATCCCACACAGGTCCAGTGTGTCATGGGGTTTGGCCTTTAGAAATGCAGTGGAACATCAAAAAGAATTTAGAAGTAAAAGTGGCGAATGTCTATATATAGCACTGTAAGGTACAAAAGCTAAAAAGTTTTTCTTTGTATCTTATGTAACCCCAAATGGTACATATCAGTACCTTAAAGTACCTAAATAGTACCTAAAGTGTATATAATAGTACCGTTTGACCACCACAATGAAAAACTGTCCCTTTTTTTTCTGAGAGTGTATCACTTAAATTCTCATGTTAATTTTCATGTTACGTCTTACCCAGTAGCTGAACATCACAGGCACAGTGGAAAGGGCCTGTACTGTCACTCCTGAAAAAATGAAAACAAATCTCTGTAATAAGTATTAACAATGACATAAAGTTGAACTGGTCTGCAGATAATGTACAAATAATGTAAATAAGAATTTTAAATATAAAACTTGTTTGTTTATTAGATAAAAAAGTATCTGAAAACAAAACCACAAAACATTTTCATTGAGAAATAGCTACTGCTTTACTCTCTTTACCGTGTTTGTCCATATCCCGAATCCGAGCCTCCGCATCCCAGCAGTTCTCCTGAATCACTCTGAACAATTTCCCATCCTTCATCATTTTAGCTTCACCCTGGTACACACAAACCCATGGTGTTTTTTTTAACATGAAAAATTAGAAATTTCTGCAGCCATGCACTGGTATTATTCACATTGCCACATGACAAATTGTATTTTCAGCCACTTGGTGGCAGTGGAGAGCAAGATTAAATACATACAGTAACTCAATGCAGTGGATTTTAGATTAGAAGGAGGTGCAAAGTTTTTAGCATGACAAGCACATTTTACATCAGCAATCAATGTTCATCTGCAGTTCAGAGAATATGAATTTCACTTCAGAGTGGTAAATTGTGATGAAAATATTTGTTACAATTATCTTTATTGCAGTCATTCAGTCTATCTTGTTGTTTACTTATTATAAGGTACATTATGTATTAGGCACGGCTGAAATGTAAGATTTATCAAAGTCTATGTGTGGGTGTGTTTATATATGCAGCAGCCCTATTGCTGTGCTCAAGGTGAACCATTTCAGTCTGATATTTTACTGAAGCTAAACCCCATGTGGAGCTCTACAGCTGCTCAGACAGGGAGTGCAGGGAAGGCCTGCTGTCCTCTTTTTCCACACACACAAGCACTCCTGAGTGTCCTGCCGATATTCTCAAGAATGAGTGCTTTCTAGGAAGTCTTGCTCATTTGGTTTGAAAAGAAAAGCAGTGGAGCCTGACGAGGAATTAATGCAAAAAACTGGGCTGCTAGAGCTACAGTGACTCACATCAAAATGTTTTAATGAGCAGTTGTGTACATTATTCTTGTGTTTGAGTGTTTCTGTTTTAGAGTTCTTCCTACTGCACCAAAGAACAGAATAAGCTGAGCATCTGAGTAGACCAGAAACCACCTGAGACACCAGCTGAAGCACAGTACAGAACAATCCAATTACTCTAAAGGACTGCAGGTATAAAGAGGCTGACAGATGCTTTAACATCCTCCTGCTCTGAGTGGAGGATCAGATCTGTCTCTGCTGTCCACTCATTCCTCATGGGGGTCGTAACATACTCTCACACACTCACGCTTTCTCTCTGGAAGAGCTCGCGAGAGATCATGCCAGCTGGATCTATGGCCAAGCATGCAGAACCCTTTCCATCCAGCTGGTCTTCTTCCACCATCATCCCACTAAACTGCAGACTGAGCTGATTTTCTCCATGAGCAATGATCAGGTGTGTAAAGGGTGTATTAGAATGTTAAACTTACTTTGCAGTGATGGTGGAGCTGAATGAATCCGCCATATCCATATCTCTGTGAAACATGAAGAGAATGCTAAGGTGAATTTTAAGATATAATTTTACATCATAGTATTACACTTTTACTATGGCAAATATAAATAAATAAATTTTATATACTTTAATGGAAAATAATTTTTGATTTTATTTGCATGTTAAGACATGAGAAATGATTAATAGAGTCTTGCTCAGATAAGCAAGCAATAAAGGTCAGGGTTGGTGATCAAACCCTTTCATTAATGTTTAACAGATGCATGCATTTTAAGAGTAAACCTGAAGTAGTGTCTTGTTTAACACAATTAGCATTGAAAAGAACATTTTAGGTTTAGCCGTTAACATCAACATCTGATATTCTAAAATTGGACATACAGATTTTTTCTTTATATTTAGACATTTCCTGTATATTAAATGCTGGGGAAAAGAGTACAAATGTACAGCTGACCAAAATATATCAAAATCCAATTTGGTAGCCTGTTTATAGAAGCAAGTCAACGTCCAAGTGAAATAATGTAAAAATGTTGACAAATATGTTATGAGCCAGGTAATCTTGCATGGCTAACCTATGATGACACATTATTTAAAGGTAACTTTCATATCTTAAGCAACCTACCTGTTTCAGGTCGGGCCATTCCTTTGGTAAAATATGATTATGAATATCAATCTTCATGCTGCTGACATTAAGAGCTCAAATTGTAGGCCTGAAGATTTGACAGTCTTGTAAACGTAATGTTCACCCCTCCTGCAGTTGTGAATGTTCAGCAGTGTGTGAAACAGAAAACAAACATTCCAACCCCTGTCCTGTCTTTTGAAATGGCCCAATGAAAACCCCTGAGAAGAGACACAGCAAGCAGTATTAGCTTTTTATGACTTGTCTGCATGAATTCATACCTGTATACATTTTATGAATTGACTGAACAAATTAACGTCTTCGTAACTTATGCAATATATATGGCAGACTTTTGGTTAAAACCAATGGTTAAAAAAATGAATAAACACACAAATAAGGTTTAAAAATATATAAGGAGAGACTGCTGTCTGTAATAAATATTTTCAAGGGTGTTTCAATGAATTCAGGAAATATCTGCCCTGCCTTATCAATTTACTTCACGTCCTGCACAACAGTGTCCTCTAGCGGTTACTAGACGTAGGGGCGCCAGAAGCTACAGGCGGGAATCCTTCTCAGTTTGTTGACAGTTTGTTCATCTTTATTGATTGCCACATATGCGAATAATATCGAATATCGTTTTGTAGAGTTTAAAATATATAAACTTAAAATAGCATAGTTGATATGTGACTAATCAGTTTGATAACCTAACAGTAACATTCTACTTTTAAGAAAACTGGTTCAATTCTCAGTCAAAAAATAAAATAAAAATATGCGCCAAAATTACATGCAGCCGGCTGATAGCCTATGCTAATCGGTTGGTAGCTTAGCTTTTGTAAGAGAAACAAGCGCGCAGCCAATTCTGTCTTTGAACTTCAATTTTTTGCGGTAACGCTAGCTCTATATAGCATGAAGTAATTAGCTGGTGAAGTGGATTTACTTATTGTAGAGTTAACGAAAGTTGTTATGTTATGTGCGATAATGGAACGACAAAAACCGAACCATGTTGATGATCGCTCGGAGCGGGTTTCTTTCACTAGTGAGGAAATGGAAACCCCGGACTGGATCATGAGCCAAAGAGATTACAGAGCGGGTTGAGCAGGGAAGGAAAACGTTACTGTCGCTCCTCCGTTCACTCGATTTGAGTCCTGTCTGTTGCTTGGTTGCATGCAAAAGCTTGGCACTTCATTGTTTTGGAGGTAGGCTAGGCTATGCTGAGAATCAATAGCCAATATGCGCGGCCACTTTAGCGAAATTTCAGTTTCGGCAAAAAAAGGTCCACTTTCCATTGTCAGTGTAGCCTATAGTGTAGAGATGTATGTAGGCTATCACCCTTCACACAGAATCCACTTTCAAAACCAAGCAGCTTTCATTTGGTCAACTCATGCGACCAATTCGAACCCGTTTCGGGTTAAGTTTGTCATTATCTGACTGAAGGTTGGAGACAGCTATTTGTGGCAGGTATAAATGACTTTGACACTTGACAAGATCGTTTCTTAAGTCACTGTCAAGGGGGATCTGCTAGCCTACTGTGCTTTATCGCCTAAGATCAGATGATGTGCAAAAGTCAAGATATGTTGAAACTATAGAAAGCGACGCATAGCCTACTCATCCCCATGTCAAATTACAGTTTGGGTGGCTGCAGTTCTTGCGCTCGGATTGGAGTTGTTCTCGGTGGGAGGGGAGAGTGGATTGGGGTGGGGGTCCGTTGCTGATGCTGGGCAGATTGCGTTTATCTCCGCATCTCTGCTCCGCTACCCTTAATGCTGCCACTGGATGGCTGCGCGTCGCAGTTCTCGACTGTTCATATATTGAGGGCTTCATCTGATTTCAGAAAAGAAGAAAGCAAACAAACATGACAGACAGTACGACTTCTGATCCATGCCCTGTTCCCAATCCGACTATTGTGGACCCATCGGCTGTGCGAAACGGACAATGCGCCGCTGCCCAGGATCCGAACCTACCCAAAAGAGGGAGCCAGGGCGATCCTTTCAATGTGGACCGGGACCAGGAGATGAAAATCACAGATAGCGTTGAGGGCCAAGGTAAACACACCTCATCTCTTTAACATACAACAGATCTAGCTGTACTTTTCCTAGAGTTGTTTCAGAAATGCACTTTAAAGTAATTTATTTGGGATATGTTGTGAATAAGACTAAAATGCTGGAGAATGTTGCAGTCCAGTGGAACACGCAGGCGCTCTAGAAGCTATTAATAATTCAGGTGAGCACAAAACACTTACAGTTTAAGTTAAGAAACTGACCAGAGACTAAACAGCCTTTACTGAGTGGCAAATGTTTAGGAGTATAATTTAACAAAATACATTAAAATTTTAAATGAATAGATGGACATTGTTTATTATATAAAATATTGTTCTGTCTGTTTCAATGGAGCAGCTTTATTTGTTTCATTCAGTTTCGTCACGTCGCTCTCTGTGTGTCGCATTGATTCTGATACTTCACCACAAAGCGGCTCCATAAGTTTCATGTTTGCAAAAAAAATAAAAAATTGTTGTGAATATTCTAAGGTATCGCATATATTTTGTTCATATGTTATTATCATAAACTTTGTTACCATATAAAGTAGTGACTCGGCTTGCGTGTATTTATTTTTATTGTGATTTTCTCCAGTATATCATTCGGAAAGGCTAATCCCTAACAATTACAACAAAATGTGACCTTTGTAACTAATTAGTATATATATATATATATATATATATATATAGGCTATATTAAAATTTATGTGAAGTTGTTAATTTGATGTAATACATTTGTTTGTGTGTTGATAGGAAAGTGGCTATAAATTGGTTGTTTGTGTCAAAGCATAAATGATTCAAGATTCAAATGAATGAAAATTGTATTTGTGTGTGTGTTTTAATTAAATCTGTGAATTTTGAATTTTTTTTATTGCAGTCAACTTAGGCATTCATAAGCTTTTGTTAACCTGCATGTGATTGCAAAACAAGACTCTAACCATTTGGAGGGAACAGATGTTGTAGTTTACATCTGGCCATCTGGTTATGCCCCCACTGTAAAAGACTAGAAACTTTGTTTCTGCTACTACTCAAACTGAATCTACGCTGACTCGCACCTCCAGTGGAGCTGTTTGGAGGAGCATCTGATCTCATATCAGCACTTCTACTCTTAGAAGCAGCATTAGTCTCTGCACCTGCAGGATCTGAGTGTGGCTGTATGCTGTAGCATCCTCCTGTGCAATCAGTTTGAGGCGCTGAATAATTCATAAGACCTTTCATTCTCCACTAGTGAAATTGTGGGGGCATTAGAATGAGACTAAGAAGCCTAAGAAAAACACAAATTAACGAAGAAGCAGAAATAGGAGTTTTAGTTAAAAGTAGCAGTCTGTTGTTTACAGTCTCAGCACTTGGATTATTTAATTATTTCTTTCTATTTTTTGAAAATTCATGCTAGTCTACTATTTTGGTATAATATATTTCAGATAAACCCAACCCTAACTGGTACATAAAAATAATACAATATGCGGTTAGTCACTTTACATAGCTTAAACAGTCTGTTCCTAAGCGAGCGGTTTTTAGACAGAAGCTGCAATGCAGACCAAACTTTATCATTTATTCAAAGGTCTGTTTGCTCAAGAATTGCGGTTACTTAAAACCGGCAGTGGCAGCCATCAGAATGGACAGATAGTTTAGAATAAAACTGGCATTGGCAGCCTTCAGTAAATTCTTGGCACATAAAGTAAGTATAAACTTCAGGCCACCATGACCAGTTGGCAGTCGGAAATGTTGGCACTACTGTCTTAGAATTTTAAGAAAAAATTCACATTTTTTAATTTTTTTCTGCTTAATCTCAGTGATACAAAAAGGGGGTTGCAGTTGATTATTAAACTAAATAAAGCTAAATATGGATTAAAAACAGTTTCTTCATATTTTTTCATCGAATTTGTACATGCAGCCATCTTGTCACAAATGATGCACATGTTTTTAAAGAGAAGCATATCCTGTTTTTTTTTTTAAGTTACATCATTAATGCCGAAGTGGCTTAATTCCACTAACAGCTTTTCCTACAAGTTAAATAAAAAGCAAATCTTTTAGCCGATGTCCTTTAAGCCATTAAGAGGAATGTTTCTCTCTCTTTCATGCAAACCCTATTATGCATGGAAGAAATGTTGGGTCATGTGGATGTCCTGCTTCCACATGATTAGCAGACAGACGGAGTGGGGGAAAGACCTTTATGTTGAGTTTCGGCTCATTTTATGTGCCTATAGTCTAGAGTTTGCATGGGAAAGTACAAACTGAGCAAACTCACTGTGTGTAAAGGTTTGTGTAGTAACAGATCTGGATGAACAAAGTTCAGCTTGACTGGAGTGTGTTTTTGGTTCAGAAATGAAATAGTTTGGAACTTATGGGTTACATTTGTGTGAGAGCAAATCATGCTCGCGATCCTGACTGATGAAATAAATCATGTGAGTGGCCACATTCCCCAGCTTTGTTTTTCAGCTCTTGCAATCACACTGACTGACCACCTATTGACTCTGTGCTCATAACCCTCAGCATGTGACTTCCACAGGCCGACAGATCAGTTTGGTGAGCATGGGGGAAGATATACACAGCCACCCACTGTCACCACGACATAGCTGCCATTCATTTTGAACAGATGACAGAGGCATATTTGAATTTCACCTCTTTGGCAAACACAGCACAATATGAACATTGCTTGGATGCTACACAATAGACAGTCAACAGGTTCTGCTGATTCTGTTCACTTAGTCTTGTTCATAATTACACTCACGGATTCAATTTGTGACCTGTGGTGTAGAATTTATCTCTAATAATGCCTTGATAAAGACTCTGTTGAGGGACACAGATATCGTTTCCTCGGTCAAGGCTGTTTCTGCCTCAGAGTGAAATATAAAAAGATAAGTGTGAGCCAAAGTTGAAAATAATGACACTTTCAAAAGTTTGGCGTCAGTAAGATTTTTTTAATTCAACACTTTTATTCAGCAAAGATGTTAAATTGATCAAAAGTGACAGTAAAGACATTTATAATATTACAAAAGGTTTCTGTTTCGAATAAAGGCTGTTCTTTTGAACATCCTGTTTATAAAAGAATCCTGAAAAAAATGTGTTATGGTTTCCACAAAAATATTAAGCAGCACAACTGTTTTCAACATTGGTAATAATTAGTAATGTCTCTTGAGCAGCAAATCAGCAAATTAGAATGATCTCTGAAAGATCATGTGACACTGAAGACTGGAGTAATGATGCTGGAAATTCAGCTTTGCATTCACAGGAATAAAATACATTTTAAAACGTATTTAAAAAGTTATCTTAAATTGTAATATATTTTGTGATATTAGACTTTTTTGTGTATTTTTGATAAAAATGAACGCCTTGGTGAGCATAAAATACTTATGTCAAAAATAAAAAATCTTACGAACCCCAAACTTTTGAATGATACTGTACATTGTGTGATATGAAGTCAAACGGCAAGATATAAATTCATTGTGATATATAAAGTCACAAATACATTTTAATATGTTTAATTTACTCTTTGTGGATCTTCCAATAGCTAAAGATCTCCCAGGGCTGCTAGCTACAGCTTTTAAAGTCATATCCTTTGTGACTTAATACATGATAAACAGAATTTATTAGTGACACCTAAATCTTGTTGAAACCATTTTGCTCTGCTAATTAAACACAGAGTCGATGCCCCTCTGACAGTGCAGATTCTTTTCTGCTCATCTTTGTGTCTGACATAAAGCTCTTTAATATTGCTACCCACCTCAGGCTCAATGCCTGTCATGGTCCAGTGAGTAAATAATCAGCCTGTTGTTTGTACTCCTAGTGCACTTAATTTAATCGTATGGCCTTTAACTAGTGTTTTATTTACTCTTTTGACAGGTCTCTTGGAGAGCAGCATGCGCCTGAAGCCTCATGAAGCTCAGAGTTACAGGAAGAAAGCTTTGTGGGTGTCCTGGATCTCCATTGTGGTGACGCTCATCTTGGCTGTGGCAGGCTTCAGTAAGTTCACGGTGATGCTTTTCCTGGCTGTGGCAGGCAGGCAGCCTTCAGGATGTTCAGTTGGTTTAGGTTAGAAGTAGTCTCAATCACCCACAGACCGCCCACAGTCTGTTCACTGACTGTCTGGTGCATATTACACACAAAACTGGAAAATACTACTTTTTCAGTCTGGCAAGCTTCAGTCTGATTGGCTTACTGAATTATGATTTCTCTGATTACACATTTTCAGTACAACCGTTTGCAGTGATGCCTCTCAGTAAAAATTTTTTTCATGTCTATTTTTATTTTCAGTGTATTACTGTGGTATATTGAAATTAAGATAAATTAAATGGTCCCTAAATAGCACATTACATTTCAGTTATATCTCTTCCTAAGTGGGCTGTTGTTGGCTTAAATAAGCTGCAATGTGGACCAGACCTTATGCTGTTGAGTCAAAGCCCTGGCTAGCTTCAACTGCCAGTGGCATCCATCAGGATGGGCAGCTAGTTGAGACTAGAACTGGCAGAGCCAGTCTTCAGTAAATTCAAGTTTAGGCTAGAACTGGTCACTGTGATCAAGTGTAGGCGGTCAGAATAGTTGGCACTACTGAGTTATAGTTTTTAAATACTTTGGGTTTTACTAGTAGTTGAGGTGTGTTTTGGTAATTACAGGAAACTTTTTTTCCGTTATATTGATAATGCTAGTCCCAGACTCTGTTCCGTGTTTTGTGTGTGTTTTGCTCCCCATGTGTTTCCATGCCCTTATTTGGTTTTCCTGTTCCTGTTCCCTGATTGTTTCCCATTTGTTTCCAGCTGTGTTTTCCCTCGTGTTATTATGTTTCATTAGTTCCAGGTGTTTCTCGTCATGTCTTGTGTATTTAAAGTGTTCCCGGTTCTTAGTTCTTCGTCCGGTATTGTGTCAAACTTCTCAGCTACGTGTGTTTTTCCTGGTTCCCTTGAAGTCATTAAAATCTCCTTATTAATGTACTCCTTGTTCTGCGCTCCAACACAGTAGCAACATGACAGTTAGTTAGAAGACAAAGATTTCATGATAAAGATTTAATGGAGCAGAGGTTTTTGCTTCCAGAGTTAAACACATTTTTGTATTTTTTTGGTTAGAAAATAGACCGTTACATTTGTTTATTTTTTATACCTGAGGTATAAAATAATAAACAAACAAACAAATAAAAATAAATAGTAATTTAAAAAAAAATATATATTTTATATTATGTAATAATTAATTAATTAATTTGTATTTTTTATCTATTTATTTGTATTTTTATCTATTTATAAATATTATGCAATAAAGTAACTGAGTTTTTTCCTAAAAATGTATTGATAAAGCATACAAAGTTTCTGTGAAACCTACTTCAAGTGATGTTCCAAAAATCAATTTACCTTAAATGTGTGCTTTTTGTCAGGTGAAAACCTTTAAAGCAGAAAACATCAGCACCTCTGCTGCTATTTAAAGCTTATGTGTGTAATTTATTCAGTGTTAAAACACTGTTGCTGTGCAAGCTTAATACATAGAGACAACTATATTTAAGCCATTCATAGATTGAATTGCTATACAGTTTAAGCTGTGGCAATGTGCCACAACATTGATCTGTCTGAACGGTCCAGCATTGGTGTTCTCAGAAAGAAATTACACAATGTATTAAAAAAGTTATATGCGTACAGTTTTGTAGTTTTTGTAGTTCTTTGCTTTTTAGTATATCTCTCTCTTTTTTGTATATGTTCAGTAATGGTCTGCATTGATTCTTTATTGGGAATGTTTTTCTTGCCTCTGTTGTCTTTAATTTGTATGGCCTTAAAAACAAATGAAAGGTTTCTCTGATTTTTCAGATTATGTAATAAATAAAAAGTAACAGTTGTTTGGGGTATTTAGTACAATGAAAAATAAATGGCAATTATTAATGCATGTTTTAATTATAATATCATACATACTATTTTTCACATGCCTTATAGATTTATAGCTGCCTTTAAAACTTAGGAGGGTGTCATTTTCAATGGGATCCTTGGCATTAAAACATTCTTGACTTTAGCCTCTTAACTCCTCATGAGACTGAGGCAAAATGCAGCAAAGGAATGTTGCTAATTTTAAAGGGGGTGGATATAACATTTGTGCAGCAGATGCTCATTTAAAATATCAAAGCTCACTGACATCTATACAGTTGATCTGAGAACTGTCAAGCAACCTTGTTTCTTTGATGCTTTTTTCTGTCTTCACACCCTTGATTTAGAGATAACTAGGACTAGGACAAAAATAAATGTGGTTTCAATATATCATATTGAAACACAGTGTAGAATATGAAGATAAAGCCTTTTTGCACATGCACAAAGATGAAGTGAAGGAGTAAATGTAAAGGGTTTACAGGACGTTTCAGTATTTGCTTGCCAGATGACGATGACTCCCCAGCTGAGTCTTGTTTCCTGCCAAGGTTTCTTCTTCATTCTATCTAATCATCTTAATTTTTGCCTTTGTCTCAATCATTAAAGGTTGCAAGGCATTATTTTATGTAAAGCTGCGTTGGTATGGAACCATATGTCTTGTGAAAAGAGCAGGTAAAATTGAATTGAGAAGGAATTGTTTGAGAGTGTAAGCTGAGAGAAATGAAGATTTATACCATGGCCCTGTAATGAAGGCAAAGAGCAATTTCTCATCCCAGAGGGACTGTAGCTTTAAGGTTTTTCAGGGCTCTATGCTTACTTTTCTTTTTAGGAGCGCTTGTGCTCCTAACTTAAAAAATGTAAGAGCACGTTCAAAATTTTAGGAGCACCTTCTAAACAATTATCCAAAATTTTATCAAAAAGTAGCATTCCCATTACGAGGTGATATTTGACTCCTCTAACTTTATTAAAAGTATGTCATCTTTTGTCAAATTCTTTAAAATGATGATGATCGGGTCAGTCGCACTGCTGCTCCTAAAAAAAAATTCATAGTAGCACGCAGTAGTTTTCAGTCACAAATGCGCACTGTAGAGCCCTGTTTTTATATGTATCTACCTACATTCACCTCTACCTCTCAAACACACACACATGAAACCATACTTACACATGCTTTGTCATTCTATCATCCCTGTCTATTTTTAATCTTTATGTCATAGGCTAACATGATGATTAACAGAGAAAAGGAAGTTGGCATAGGAAGCAGACAGCGTGTTTATCACGAGTTGTCTTCAGTGATAAAGTGTATGGTTGTCAGGCATTTGACATGACAATACTCACTGTGTTATCAACAACCGTGAACTTTGCAAAAGCTGCAACATTGACTGTGACTTCAGTTTGTACCAGTTGATTTCATTGTAAAGCCCATGGCTCAGCTGTCCACGAGCAATCTGAATGCCTCATGCTAAACAGAATGTATGGTGTGTCCTCTGTATTTTGTAACATGTAATGATGCAGCAGTCACTACACTGTCACTCTTATATCGCACAGTCACACTTACACTGTAAAGAATCGTTCTTCACCGAACAGACATCATGACTCTCGTGATGCCAGGGGTGTGGGGCTTGTGACCGTCTTTGGATTCTGAGGAGATGAACACCCAGCTTTGTTTTTGTGGTTTGGAATACTTTTTCAGATATTTCATGCAAGTGAGTTGGGAAATCATATGATATGCTGGATCTGAAAGCATTCTCACAGAAACTCTTGGGAAAATATATGATAAAAAATGTGTTCAGGCAATGCCTCTCATTTGGAAAGCTCCAAGATTTATTGAGGCTTACAGCAGGAACTGTTTGCTTGCTCTACTAACTTTACATTCAGTGTCAATCAGGATATTCTCTAGTCTAGTGGAACATTTCAGCAATTGCTAAAGTGATAGTTCATTCAAAAATGAAGATTCTGTCATCATGTACTCACTCTCATGTCTTATTAAATTTCTATGATTTTCTTACTCACATGGAACACAAAATAATTTGACTGATGTAAGGACTGGAGCTTTCAAGCTTCAAAAAATGATGCACAAGCACCATAACAGTATCATAAACATGGTCCATCTTATACATTCAGAATATTCGGAGTCATCCGAAACCATACGATAGCTTTGTGTGATGAACAGACTGAAGTTTCAAAGTTGTTATTCAGTGATAACCATATTGAGTTATGTTGTTGATCATTGATTCAGTGAAATGACCTTGAGACCTGAATTTTTGTGATTTGGATTGACGATTCATTGACCAGATCTGACTCACAAGAAAGATATTTTTCTTGAATTGGATATTGCTACTTCTCTTAAGTAAACTTATCTTTACTGAGACATTTGCTTCTCAGTAAGTGATGGCAAAGTTTGAGTAATTTTCATCTTTGAAGGGAAGGATTAAATAAGAGAAATGTTTCTCTCAAGTCACACTAAATTACTTACTGTTAATGAACAGTATTTGAAACAATTATTTTATTACAGTTTTTTTTCCCATGACTAATTTATTTGATCCTTTAAGTTACACACACCTACAGCAGCATAAAGCCCCTTGTTCTGCTTAAATGTCTCATTTGTTCTCATATATTTTTAAAAAGAGCTGAAAAACTCTTATCTAGGGCAGTATTTGTGTGACGATTTAAGTCTTCCTTTGTACTTATTTTAGATTTGGTGGAATATATATGATGTTTCTCATTAGGAAATTGTATTCTACACTCCAGTCTTGTTTAGTAGTTCAGCTGAATAGACTAGCATGAAAATGCATTGTTAACATGCCTTTAACATGTGATATGTGTGCAAGCCTTTGCTTGCCTGTATATTTGACATAAAGGATTATTAATGCTAAACAGTGCATTTTTTTGGCAGTTAGATACAGATGAAATGTAATATTTGCGCAGTTTCTTCAGTCAGATACTGCATAATTAGATGCTGCGTAAAAGATTTCTGTTGTCAAAGACACATTTCTGCTATCAACATGGCCAGGTAATTTTCCATAAGATGGATTTTTCATGAGTGTTAAGCACAATTTTCCCAATAACTCTGTCTTATTAGTTCCACCTAATTACATTTTACAATGTAATGTACCGATCAGCAAAAGAGCT